GTTCTTCGGCGGGAGCGGGAGCTGGGACAGGCGCAGGCGCAGGCGTAGGTGTGACTGCGGGCTTCTTTTGCGGAGGCGGCGCAGGCTTTGCGAACAAGCTCGCCCAACCTTTCTTGGTGCCATCCGGCATTGCGTTCGCCTTCGGGGCCTCTTTGACAGCGTCGGTGGTCGTATCGGCGTCGACAGTGGTAGCTCCGACCTCGATTGATTTCTCGGGAACGATCGTTGTCTCCACAACGTCCACCGTGGCAGTGACAACGGGCTTCTCGGCGCGTGCCCCGTTAGCACTAACAGCTCCAGCTCGGCCACCACGGCCACCACGACCACGATCTCCACGAGCGCGTCCACGACCCTCGAATCCGCCACGTCCACGGCCTGAGCGAACGGAACTTGTGGTCGCCTCGGTCGGGGTGCTCTGAGCCTCCTTGGCCTTGGAGCGGTTCCGGTCAGTCGTCTTCTTTTTCACCTCACCCCACTGTGAGACGTTGCCTGTTGAGATAGAACGACCAAAGTCAGAGCCAATTCCAGTGAACTGCAGACGTAGAGACATGAGTTACAACTCGGGGGATCCGTGATCATACCTTCAGTAATGCGCTCAATAGCATCCTCGAGTACGCCGTCGGCATCTTCCAGAGCAAAGACGAGATCCTCGTCGGTCCAGTCAGGGAACAATTCCTTCAGTGTGGGCAGATCGTTCGAGTATTTCTTTTTCATCTGACCAATCTCTCCTTCATCTTCGAATGTGGTCTGGTCTGAGGTGTCTGCCTTGGCCGATCTGCTGCCTCCGCGACCACCTCTGGAGCTATAGCCACCTCGACCACCACGAGCGGATACTCTGCCTCGAGAGGCAGAAGGCCGTGTTTGAACTTCAGACATATCTTCTGGTAGTGTTGATGTATCTCCAAAACGGAGCAATTAAATAATAGACGAGGAGATTGAAGGAATTTCCGACGTCGACGGTGGGGACGATAAAGTGTGGCTGACCTGAACGGGTAAAAAGAGGTCGCTGGTAGTGGAAATGATCACAGCTGCACCCTCACGAGAGGACAGCACCAAAACCACGGGCACAAGGGCCGCCGAATCCGGGGAGACAATGGGGGAAAAAGGGAAAAGAGAAGACGAAGGACGGAGGAGGAGGGTAGCTGAGAAAAGGGAAAAGAATAATAAGAAAAAAGGGAAGTTATTATAGACTTGTGGGGGGAAAGGAAGTAGTAGAGAGAATGGGAAGAAGGGAGGGAAGAGATTAATTATTGGGACTTGGATCAAGATCAAATGGCAGGGAACGAGACTTTCTGCTAGTAAGGTAGAGAAGGTTTGGGCCGGCGTGTGTCTGAAAGAGACAGCTGAGCCTGAGGCAACAGCCGATCTTTTCGCTCCTTTAGCGAGTAGACTACCTACTAGATATGGGGGAGGCTCTATGGGATGATTTCATCATCTACATAGCCTTAAACGTCTTTACAAATGTGTACAGCTAGCTATTCTATCTCGGTTGAATATAATTGTCTAACTGATTGTATCGTCATCGATTGAGCTCCTCTTGACTACTCTACATCTTAAAACCCTCCTTGATCTCCATTTTGTGGACAGTTTCGCCTCTCTAACCCTTTCCTCCTCTTGTGTGGCCTGCTTTGGTTTGGGCATCAGAAGACCATCCTTCATTCGCTGATTCCTCTCACCGCCCCCGCTTTTGAGCTTTCAAGGCGCTCAGGTGATGTTCGCTGCCTGAGGCTCGAAGTTTCCCTGGATGCTCCGGTTTTAACTGCTGAGGGGACAGGTCAAGCAAGAACTGAGATATACCACTCGCAATACATCTCCTCTAACAACCCCACGGCAGCAGAGTCAACATGAAGGGGTCATCATTGTTCAAATTTAGCCCTTTCGCAAAAATCCATCAACCTCTTCCTCGTACGCCAAGAGAATCAGCGCAATTACTGAACGCCCTTACGTCCTCCTTCCGTCGCCAGCTTGATCGAGAGTACCCATCATCATCCTCCTCCGCCAATAACGATGAGAACGGCGACAATCCATTATCCTCCGTTCATGCGACCGACAAACATCTGAGGACTATTTTGGAGAATCCCCTTTTCCGCGTCACTCCCTCAAATGCAGCTAGCCCTGCCCACCAATCCGGCCTTGGATCACTGCAGGAGCAGAAACTGGCGACTGAGCCTATGACTGTCTTCGATGAGTTGGTTGCCTCGGGTTCTGTTAATAAGACGGCTCTGTTCAATTGTTTGAGGGCCCAGCTAGTGCTCGCCAGCGCTCATACTGGCGATGGAGTTGTGGACGCGATGAAGAAATCCAAGGCTGGTTCCAAAATCGTGTCCTGGTGGTACGCATCCGATTCTGAATCCAGGAAAATGCTATTCACGATACGATCGTCAACCGTCACACTACTAAAATTCATGGTCGCTGAGGGGCTACAGAAAACGGCGATGGCCTGGCTGGCAATGCTATTGAACCGTGACCTTGGTGGTGCTGACGGTCGCATATCGGAGGCTATGGCCCAAACCGTGGCTCGTAATTTCCTGCTCGACCTCTTGAAAGCTGAGATTCAGTACGGAGAGGGTTTGGTCTCGGCCATGAGATATTATTTGGAGGCGAGCAGGCTGCCAATCTCTACAGATTACGAACTCGGCCTTGTTCAATACAAAAAAGCGCTACTAATGCCTGCAGCCGGGTTTTTGTGCCGCGCAGCCATGGAGGATGGACAATCGCAGCTCAAACAGATGCCTCTTGAGATGTATGATGAATATGTGAGGATTATCGCTTCATGGTCTCTCAAGTCGTTACTACTAGCTTGCGTGCCTCTTTTCCACCCGACCCGACCCGACGCTACGCGCTTTGTGCAATTTACAGAGAGAATATCACGGGTTCGGCTCACAACATGGCCCAAGACGAAAAAGGAGAACTTTGTGCTCTACGCCATTACCGCCATTCGTATCTTGGTCGATCAGCAAAAATTCGCGGAAGCTTCATACTTGGCACGCTTCATTCAGGAGAATTTACCGGAGAAGATTGGCCAGGAGTCGGCATCCAGCACGTTTGATCAAGTCTCAGCCGAGGAGGAAAATCTATCCAACCTTCTGGGCATGGCATGATTCGCATTGGCTCACATGTTATTCATGTCGAATCAACATACACAAACACATCAGGTGTAATCCATTGGATTCCGGCTAATTGGGACCATTGGAGTGCCGGCATCGTTCATCGACGTCATGGACTTTGACGATGAGGGACACACTTCACGCGAGGAAGCGCCCATCTTGTCCCAACTCCGCAATTGGTGCTCCACTCTGCCGCACTAATGCCACCCTACTCCTCTTCTTGGCATGCTTACCTACAACAAAGAACATCAGAAGCGCCGGACTACGCCAGAGCTGCAGGCCAGACCGTGGTGCTGAGCCCGGAATTTGCATTCTGGTGTTGCGTTACTAAATCTAGCATCCGCTAACATGTTGGGGGCAAATAGAACAAATAACCGAGAAAAGGCTAGCGTTCTCGAAGATCTTAGTCAACGTCGCACGCGCAGCCTCCTCTCCATTCCTTCCACACTTTGTCATCCTTGACCTCTCCTCATCGGTGATACACTGTTCCAGAAACATCTATCCTAGCGATCTCAGCTATAGTGATAATCAAGTCACTTTTTTTCGAGACAATTATATCGTTCCATTCCCCTTACATGATTGAAGCCCATATAAGTACACATTAGCAATCACAAACATGGCTACGGAAAATAACTCTAGCGTTGTAAACGGTCACCCCAAGCAAGGTATGTCCAGGATACAGGACGCTGTCTGGCTGCCCGAGTTAAAGCTCAACCACGTTTAATTGACCCCCCTAAGCGTCCAACAGAGCAATTAGACGCTAATGGATATCGCCAGAGCCTACAATTCAGACCGAAGCAGAAGTCAACGGTAAATCGCTGGAGGATACTGCTAGAGAGGCCAAGGGCGACAGCCGTCCACGAGAGAGTGACCAAGCGCTACCTGCAGAGTCAGTCCCCAATCCAAATCAAAGCAGCTCGGAAGGAACCAAGTCTGCTGAAGACTCCAAAACCGTGGATCCTTCAACTTCTCCAGAACAGGCCCTCGCTGGGGCTGTGACTGAGGCTCAACCGCCATCTGCCGCAGACACAGCGCAAGCTGGAGACAAACAAGAGCACAACCCGTCTTCGGCACCGGTCAATGATGACAAAGCTGTCCCTGAAGAATCTACGGAACCTGCACGTAAGAAGCAGAAAATTAACGAAGGGAATGGTGTGATCGAAAAAGGACAACCGGCTTCCACGGCCGCCGGTGACTCGACCTCGAATGCCACTCGCAACGGAGAGCAAAAGTCAGGGCGCTCTAAGAAAGTGAAAGACGCAGTGAAGCGTATAGTTCATACAGATGGTATCGGGAGTCGGACCCGCAGTCGGACCAAGGCTGCAGCGACCTGAGCTGCACTCCTTTGATTCTCGGGCTCTGTCGACATTTATAGCCTAATATTGAACGTCTGCCACGAGACAGTCTCTTCGATTTCTCTTTAACAGTCTTAGCAATGATAATGCAAACTGGTACTCCTGCGTATCCATAGTAAGAGCACATAATTATCACTTCGATGTCTGCGAGTATATTCTGATTGAGGAAATCAGTAATACTTCAACTCCATGTGTCAATCTTGATAAGTAATGTTTCGACGTATAAAAAAAGTCGTCTAGAGCAGGTACAAGCACAATTATCGTGACGAAGCAATCCCAAGCCCTGTCGTATATCAACCCCTTCTTAAGAAAATCCGATATCGGCCGAGGCGTTGCTAATTAACTAGGTAGCTTCCCTCAACCCCACGCTGAGTCACAGCCACGGAGCGGATCAACGCTATCACTGGAGGGGATGAGTCTGTGTCATAGCTCCAGTAGTCATCGTCCTAATTTCACTTTCCATATTTTGAATCTCGGTTTTGTTCTTTTCAAGAAAAGTCAATTCTCTTCGAGCACTCATCAATTGAATTTCACAGTCATGTCGAGCAATAAGATCTGGTTGCGCGCTGAAACCAAGCCCGCCGAGGCTCGGTCTGCTTGTGAGTTCTACTTGCTCTTGAGAAAAATGCCTGTTCATCATTGCATTTCCGATCCATGAATCTTCGAGTTGCATGTGCTAATTGTATGAAATGTAGTGACCCCGACTACCTGCAAGGCCCTTATGGACGCCGGCTTCGAGGTGACTGTGGAGCGTTCCACACAGCGGATTTTCGACGGTGAGAATAATGTCCTCTGATTCCTTCTCAGGCCCAATCGCTAACAGAACTGGCTCTGTGACAGATAAGGAGTTTGAGCAGGTAATTTGAGACTCGCACTTGATCCCGTCTTCGGACGACATTCTCACGCACTAGTTGTACAGATTGGCGCCCCCCTCGTCGAGGAAGGTTCATGGGTGAAGGACGCACCCAAAGATGCCTATATCCTGGGTCTGAAGGAGCTTCCCGAAGATGATTTCCCGCTTGAGCACGTTCACATCTCCTTTGCGCACTGCTACAAGCAACAGGCTGGTTGGGAGAAGGTTCTCAGCCGGTGGCCCCGCGGAGGCGGCACCCTCTTGGACTTGGAGTTCCTCACAGATGACGCTGGACGCAGAGTAGCTGGTGAGTGACGATTGTTTCTGCTTTGGATGAATGAATTAGTGACTGACTTTTCACTTCAGCTTTTGGATACTCCGCTGGTTATGCAGGTAAATTATTCCTGTTTGCTATGCGTCGCATATAGGGAAATGCTCACGCTATGTACAGGTTCTGCTTTGGCCATTAAGAACTGGGCCTGGCAATTGACGCATCCTGAGGGCGAGCCCCTTCCTGGCGAGACTCCCTACGCAAACCAGGACCTGTTGATCGAGTCTGTGAAGGAGTCGTTGGAGTCTGGCAAGAAGCTGTCCAGCAGGCCGCCCAAGGTGCTTGTCATTGGAGCTGTGAGTGTGTACCCGATGAGCTGAGGTCTTCTCATTGTGCTGACCAAGTCTAGCTTGGACGCTGTGGTAAGGGAGCCGTTCAGCTGGCCAAGGATGTCGGCATTCCTGAGTCCGACATCATCCAGTGGGATATGGAAGAGACCAAGAAGGGTATATTTTCATTCTCACTTGCAGCCCGTGCCTGCGCTAATCTGGTTTTCTAGGTGGTCCCTTCAGAGAGATTGTGGAGGATGCAGACATCTTCATCAACTGCATCTACCTCTCCGCTAAGATCCCTCCTTTTGTCAACACCGAAACTCTCTCTTCTCCCAATCGCCGCTTGTCTGTCATTTGTGACGTGAGCGCCGACACGTATGTTACTCTTTGAACTCTTGATGAGAAAGGACGTCCTCGCTAACATTCTGATCCTGTCTTACTCAGAACCAATCCCAACAATCCTATCCCTGTCTATTCCATCACAACCACTTTCGACAAGCCCACAGTCACTGTTCCCCTTTCCGAACGGGCCCAGGGTCCTCCACTGAGCGTGATCAGCATCGACCACCTTCCCTCCCTCCTTCCTCGCGAAAGCTCCGAGATGTTCAGCGAAGCCTTGCTGCCGAGCCTACTGCAACTCAAGGACAGAAAGAGTGCTCGCGTCTGGAAGCAAGCCGAGGACTTGTTCAACGAGAAGGTTGCTACCTTGCCCGAGTCGATGCGCGCTTAAGTTTGCTTTTTCTACACCGCCTTCGCGCCGTAAGTTACTGCAAACGCAGGCCACATGATTAATGTGGACGCTCTCCCGATCTCTTGGAGGAAGCGATGACTTTGTATATGCAGTAGTGTGTCATGAATCTCTGTTTAGAAAGACTACTACAATAGAATGAATCAATGAAAAGTCTTTGTTGAGACAAAACGACTTGTGTTCTAGCGATTTTGAGAATTGAGTCTTCTATATCCAGTCAGTCAGACGATGAAGGGAAGCCAAGTCATTCTAAGTAGATGATATCCCTGCTCTATTGTCAACTAAAATGCCCGGATATGTCGATTATGTCGATGAGAAACTGTTAATCTGCTTGACTTGCGCCTTTTAATCCAAAGTCACGTTTCGATCATGCCATGTCTCTGAGAGGCTTAGATCAAGCACTATCAAAAGGGACACCATCACCACCCCAACTACACTCGAGTTACAACATTTATTCTTTGAACATCTCCAATCCGGCTGATGGAGTCTGACAAGTGGACAATTATTAGGATTGCGTATGTGATCTCAGGCCCTATTGACGATGATCTCCTTACCATTTGCTCAGGGGCACTATGGTCCTGCAGATCAACACCACTCAACTGACCCTGATGATCTCATATTGGTCCACGAACTCCTGGAGCACCGGAAGCCATGGTATCCTTGAACCCTGCTCCTATTTTGTAGTCATCATGCGGACTTAGTCTCCAATGTGGGGGTTTCAGACGCTGTTGACGGTCGCTTGGTGTGGCAGGTTCTCCGGACGGACTCGGCAGTGAAGAGCGAAGAGCGAAGACGACGGAAGATTGATCAGATTCCAGCATTCCCTTATATTGTTGCCTGGATATTCATTTATGCAAGTCACTCTGTCATTCAAATGTTCCGAGGACATGAACGATTATTTAAGCAGTTTATAAGCATGCGTGAGTGCCCCTTCTCGCCTTCAACCCCATTATTCGGATTCCTCTCCACAATCCACATCCTCGGGTGCTACGCTGTGTATGGGGAAAAACTTATCTGACGGACAATTATCCGCCCATAGCCGCCACCCAGAAACCGTCATCTTCACTCTGAATACCATCATTTCCAAAAGGTATTGAATTACAGGAGTTGAAAGAAAACTCATCGACCTTCTTGTCCTGCCGTTAGGTTCGCCATTGGCCTTCGGAGTGGCTCGCCTCCCAGTCAGAGTCGAACCTCACCTCCCCCGCGTGCCGCCAATGGAGCGATAATCTTGGCGTCGTTCGCGTTTTCGAAGGACATTCTCAACCAATAGCACCGATAGAACCATCTCGCTGCACAACGGCAACGTAGCTATGCAGGAAAAGTCGACGACCATCGCCGCATACGCAGCCGGAGCATCCCTCGCCGCCGTGGCCCTCTTCTACGTCTTCGGACCGAATTACACAATCGACGGCGACGACTCGAACGATGGTAACCGCAAGAAAAGCATTGTGGGGCTGTCGAACCCGGCGAACGACTGCTTCATCAACTCGGTTCTACAGGCGCTCGCGGGTCTGGGCGACCTGCGTGTCTACCTGATCAGGGAATTACATCGGCGTGAACTGGACGGACCGGACGTATATAACTCACTGCCGGAGGCAGACGAGACGCCGCGGGGGATGAGGCCCGAGAGGGTTCGGGAACTCCAGCAGGGTACGATCACGCGAGCTCTGAAAGAGATGTTGGACCGATTGAATGAGCGTCCAATCTACAAGAAGACCATCACCAACCGGGCTTTCATCCAGGCTCTCGAGTACGCGTTCCGTACTCGGATTAGCCGCAATCAACAGGATGCGCAGGAATTTCTTCAGATCGTTGCGGAGCGTCTTTGTGACGAGTACCATGCCGGGTTGAAGGCACGACAGCGTGCACAAGGTCTTCTTGCGACGCTGCCAGGCTCAGGAAGCGGGGAATCTGTGCAAAGCAGTGCTGTCGAGAAGGGATCTACTGAAGTCGAAGTGCGGATTGACGATGGAACCGAAACGGGCCTCCCGGCAATCATCGACAACAAATTGAAAGAGATCGACAATGAATACGGTTTTCCTTTCGAAGGACAAATGGAATCGCAGATTGAATGCCAGTTCTGCCATTATCAATACAAGCCGAACAAGACTTCGTTCGTGAACCTGACGCTACAAGTCCCTCAGAAGAGCTCGACCACCCTCAGTTCCTGCTTTGACGGGTTGCTCAAAACAGAATATATTGACGACTTCCGGTGTGACAGGTGCCGGTTACAACATGCTCTGGATGCCAAGATGGTAGAAATGAGCAGGTCTCATTCGACAAGGGATCGGGAGCGCCTCGAGCAAGAGATCCAGCTGATTCGACATGCTATCGCTACAGATCCCGAGAATCCTCCCGAAGGAGTCAGCCTTCCTCCATCGGATCTTGCACCTAAGCGAAAGATTGCTCGCCATATGCGCATCACTGTTTTCCCCAAGATTATAGCAATCCACCTTTCGCGCTCGATCTTTGATCGCAGTAGTTCTACAAAAAACGCCGCCAAAGTGTCCTTCCCTGAGAGACTCCCTTTGGGTGGGATATTGAGCCAGAAGTGGTTCAAGCTGCTGGCCATTGTCTGCCACAAAGGCAGTCATAACAGCGGCCACTACGAATCTTTCCGACGTAACAACCTCTACCCGCCTTTCTCTACTCCGGATGTCTTTAGTTCCTACGCGCAAAGTCGGGCGACCAGCGTCAATCCCTCTACTGCACCGAGTCCTCGTCTCGCGGCTCGCGGGGTCCCCGAGACAGAACCCTCCCCAATCAGCCTCTCTTCCTCGACATCATTACCATCACTGTCGGGCACTTCGCTTTCCTCCCCAGATCGTTCTCAGTCAGTGTCGGCGAGGGACTCCTCACAACCTGCGTCTCAGCTGAATGCGCCTCCCTCGCCGTCTGCTCGGCCCACCACATCCAGCTCCCGTGTATCCTTTCAGAGTATCCGCACCAAATCGTCAGGTTCGAAGCAAAATCTCTCGCCACCGGGATCTGAAACTCAGAGTCCAGCTAGTGATAGTGGAGCCTGGAGCAAGTCCGGATCACGGCCATCCTTCATGAGCGAGCGGACCACTCCCAGGACGCCTCCAGAAGCACCAGCCCTGTCAAGTTCTCGGCTCCGTCGTCGCAAAAAGACGAATGATCGATGGTGGCGCATCTCCGACGAGAAGATCAAGGAATGCAAGACTTCAGACGTGCTGGGCATGCAGAAAGAAGTCTATCTCTTGTTTTATGAAATGGAAAAAGGGTATTTCGGGCCTTAGGCGTCGCAATCAGAAGTTTCAGGGATGAGAAGATGATTGGATGCACATACGCGACTCGTGTCGATTTTGGGTGCAGCGCATATATGGCGGGGACATGTGTGAAATAGAACGATATGGACATTGATCGCATACGTACATAGTTTCTTCGTCGGGACATTCCTCGGTCAGACATCATCTGGACATAGAAGCTTAGGATAGAACAAGTTGATAGTCTTTGAATTGAGCTTCATTCCTGTCGCTAGACTATAGTAAAGAAACTTGACGCCGCCGGCCTTTGTCGTCGGGAATCTCTACTCCGCTTCATACAAAGTCGCACAAGGCTGATGCCGATGATAACCAATTGTCCGGATAGCAGGAAGTCTGGGCCATGAAAAAGAAAGCAAGGGAATGGACTGGAACGGTAATTGACGGTTAAGGGGAGAGTTTCCCCGCCGCTTTCGCCGAGAATGTATAGAGGCACGAAAGAAACACGGAGAGATGGGTATTTATTTTCGCAGCGAACCGAGAGTTCGACGACCCGGCTGTGATACTGTACAAGTGAAAACCGCGCTCAATTGACAGGATACAAGTTTCGATCCTTCTTCTGACAATATGCTCTCCTTGATCTTTAGTGTTAGTTGATCCTTTTACATGCAAGCACAGCTTCATCCATTTGACATGTGGCGTGAGTAGAGAGAGCTTCAAGTCCATGACGCGGGCGATGATGTCATGTGATGGACGCGGGGATTTTCGGGTCAGGAAGCAAGCCTGAGGCCAAGCGGGCGTCATGGCCCCCTCTAGGACCAATAAACCCCACCAGTCATAGAGAGAGCTGCTGGTGCAGGATAGCTCCAGGATTCTTATTATTCATAGCAAAGGGAGTAAGGGACTCTAGTATGGTTATTATTATATCATTCGTCCCTTTTCCCTTTTTTCCCTCCTTCTCTTCTTCTTACCTCTGTACTTACCACATCATCAGGAGAACCGGTCTTCAGGCAAACTGAAATCATACTGACTACATCAATTCCCCACCACCCGGTGAGTTCTTCAAGGCATCCCACTGCTTGCTGCCCCTCCATTAGTGCCTCACTGCCCCTCCCTTGTGTGCTACTTATTTAACTGCCACCGTATTCGTCGTCCGGTAAAGCTCTTCGGTGATCTTCATTGAATTAGAAGAGTACTAAAAAAGTTTTGTTGTTTCGTGATCTAATTACTTATCTATCCCGTCTCCCGTCCAGATCTTCTCTCCCTTTTCAATCTCATCAACTCGATCCAAACCAGACAGTTTAGTCGCATCCAAACCATAGTCACAATGGGTATCCTCGAGAAGCTTTCCCGCAAGTCCGGCGTCATCGTCGGTGATGACGTCCTCCGTCTTTTCGAGTACGCTCAGGAGAAGAACTTTGCTATTCCCGCCATTGTAAGTTTATTCACTGTTATAGCTTGCGCAACTGGCTCGGGTGCATAAACTGGATATACTAACAGCTGAATACAGAACGTCACCTCTTCCTCCACCGTCGTCTCTTGCCTTGAGGCCGCTCGCGACCAGAACTGCCCCATCGTTCTCCAGATCTCTCAGGGTGGTGCTGCCTACTTTGCCGGAAAGGTATGAGACTGCGTATCCCCTTGTAGCCGTTCCTCAATATCACGATAGAGCTAATCCATTGCAGGGTGTCAGCAACGATGGCCAGAAGGCCTCCATCGCTGGTTCCATCGCCGCTGCCCACTACATCCGCAGCA